GAATTGTGAAGTTAAAGTCCCACGTCCCCACGTGGCTATATACCTGCTTCAACCCTGGGTGGAGCTTACCTTCTCGGAGGCGGAGCTCTGCGAGTCATGTTGCCACGAACTCCGATTTATTGTTTTTCACTCTTTTCCTTATGTTTGTAAGTAGTATGATTATAGAATGTAAACTTGGTATTAAATAGAAATTCAGTACATCCATAATTCGTATATTAAGATGAATGAAAATGGTATCTTTTATTCCTGTTAAAAATACAATGAAAATAGGTAATCTTGCCTTATCTTGAACCTCTCTCCATGTTAAGCATTCCTATATAAAGCTGGAGTCGCGTATTCTACAGCAGGATCAATTGTGGAAAAGCAAGAGAGAAATCATGAAATCTGCTGTGTTCTTCGTCGCCTTTGTGGCAGCAGTTGCAGCTGACAAAATCCCTGACTTCTTAGTACCAGGAAAGTGTCCAGCTGTAAACGAGAAAGCTCTCTTCGAAAAACAAATACCTAATCATTCGAAGGTTTGTTGAATGCAATGTGTTGTTCGTATGTTGTCAATAGATTATCTCTCTCTTCTATTTCTTTTTCCCTCTCCACCTCTCTCTTTTTTCTCTTTCCATCACCATCACAATGTCTCTCCTTCCTTTTCTTTATTTCATCGTCTTTCTTTCCTCTCCACCCACTCACTCAATCATTTTTTTTTTTGTATCTCCCCTTCCTTTTCTCTCACACACTCTTTCTCAATCTGTCTCTATCTAATTTTCTTTCCTTCGTTATTACTCACTTCCTTTTCCTCTCCTTTTCTCTTCTCTCCCGCATACTCTCTCTCTCTTTCTCCCTCCCTTCCCCCTCTCTCTCTTTCCCCCATCCCCCCTCCTCTCCTCCCCCTCTCTTTCTCCCTCCCTCCTCCTCTCTCTTTCTCCTTCTACCCCCCCCCCCCCCGTTTCTCTCTCTTACTCTCACTCTGTCACTGACACACACACACATAAACAAACCATCGGGTTCAGTATCTATATAGTACATACATACATATTTAAAAGTTTGAGATAATATCACTATCTTTATTTCAGTATGCTGGCGTCTGGTATGAAATTGCCCTCACAAACAACCCATACCAACTCCTCAAGCAGTGCGTCCGCAACGAATATTCCTTTGGTAAGATGGATTTTCATTAACTGGACACTTCTAATGTTGATATGTAACCTGTAATCTACTTATATTAACTTATCTAATAATAATTACTGATTAATAACTTACAGATGGAAGCAAATTCATCGCCAAGTCTACTGGCATCAACGCTGACGGTAACCTGATGAGCACAACGGCCAGGTTCTTCCCATGCCTCTTGGAGACCCTCATCTCTCCATCGACTACGAAGGATGTGAGTATTGAAATATGATTTCTGTTTTGTGCATTTATTGAACAAATATCGGAAGTTGTTAAAGGAAAATAGTGGAAAATCAGTTATATATTCTACTTTTCTAGTGTGTATTGATGTTATCAGCTATTTGTGTAGTTTATTGTTTTTATCTAATATCGTACTTGATTGTCTAATGTTTATGTTATCGTTTCATTACAAATATTTTCCCATTATTTCTGCAGCTTTTACCGCTCCCTATGTCATCCTCGACACGGATTACGAGAACTTCTCGTGCATCTACTCCTGCGTCGAATTCAACTACGGATACTACGCCGACTTCGCCTTCATCTTCTCCCGCTCGCCAAGCCTTTCTGACCAATACCTGAGACGCTGCGAGGCCGCCTTTAAGGAGATCGGCGTCGACGTCTCTCGTTTCGCGAAGACAGTCCAGGGTTCGAACTGCCCCTATGACACCCAGAAATCTCTCTAAATGCCTTTTTGATAAAATGTAAATATACGATTAAGCGATGTCAATTCACGTTACACAATAAATAAAAAAAATCTTCAATTCTAATGTCCCTTGATATCCATTTTCATGATTTTAATGGGAAAAACGTATACATGCGAAAACACAAAATTAGTAATAGAATGATGTCAACTGATACTTAAAGAATCATACACGTTTTCTACCTCCGTTTGCTGTAAACATGATTGTTTGAAAACGAAAGATCAGAGTTTGTGTTATTAAAAAGAAAAAAAAAAAAAAAAGAAAAAAACGCTTGCATGAAAATGAAGGCAACCTCAATGAGTTTATTTGAGTCCATAGATATACTAAAAAGAAATATGCATATGTGTCTATATATGTGTGTGCGTATGCGTGCACGCACACATATGTGTGTGTGTCTCACTGATGCGTACACGAGCATCTCATAATGTTATGTTATCTACAAACGCTGCCATGTGATATAACAATTCATTCATATAAGATGTGTGTTAACCACATAAAATGCCATGGAAGTAAGCTTTCCAAGTGCATTTGGTTGTGTGAAAAATTGCATTAAAAGATGAAAAGTCGACTCCCTACTTGTGGAAGACGGAGGCGCAATAGTTCGCTGGACCGGGAGTCTGCGGGGTGTGGAAGAGTGTACAGGAATGTATGTATATGATTAAATTATTGTCCAGGTAGTGATGGTGATATTGTAAAGGGGTTTATTATGATTCACATCACTAATTTTATTTACTTTGTCCTAAATGATGCTGACGAAATTATGGTATACGATTTTATTATAATCGCATATCAGTATTAATGTTTGTTATTGCATGGAAGTGTGCTAATACTACATATATATTGTTCTGAATATACGTTTTGCTTTCTACATATTCACACAACAAAATTAATCACCAGCAAGATAACAGCTACAAAACACCACTAGTCGACAGCGAGTAACGACGAGAAAAAAGAAAAAAAAATACTGCGAGGAGGAATATATATATATATATATATATGTGTGTGTGTGTGTGTGTGTGTGTGTGTGTGTGTGTGTGTGTGTGTGTGTGTGTGTGTGTGTGTGTGTGTGTGTGTGTGTGTGTGTGTGTTTTACATTGTAGCTCTAGGTATATGAATATGTGTTGTCAGTTTGACTGTATTTGTAAGGTTAGGTTCGGTAAGGTTAGTTTTCAGTTTGTTTTTGTGTGTGTATTCAAAGCCTGTTTCTACTTTAAATAAATGTACATGGAGTCAGACAGCTATGAGGAAGATATTTTTAAAATCTGCTGGGAATATTCAGTTTTGTTATTATACTAAAGAGAGCTGTAGAAATTGTGTGCAGTTGACTTATAAAGTTCAATTTTAGAAAGACTAATAGTCTATATCATAATTATAAATAATGATATATAGAAGTATAATAAACCGTATTTTTCGACTTTTTATTTAAAGCGCACACTTAATTTGATTATATCTGATTTCTATACATCGTTTTGTATTATGTGACAATATATGTAACGAATTTGATGTCTATGCTCTGTAGACGCATTCGGCCGTATGAGCAACATCACTGAATGAGGAGAAGTCGACTCCGTTCTTGCGGAAGACGGAGGCGCACTTGTCGTTCGCTGGACCGGAAGTCTGTGGGGTGCGGGAGAAGACGAAGCCGAACTCGGCCTTGTAGCCGCTCATTTCGATGCAGGAATACACGCACGAGTAGCTGTCGTAGTCAGTCTCGATCACTTCATAAGGAGCGGCGAAAACTGTTGATGAAAGGAAATTCATTAGGTGGAGTTAACTACACATATTAGTAATATAGCATTGGATTCCACAAAACATTAACATACCCGCAAGGATAAGTGTTCCACACGTACCGGTAGGGAAATCGATGAGCATGTGGGCAGCAGGGAAGTCCTTTGTGGGGTAGATCTTGCCCTGCATTCTGAGGTACTCGTTGCTGGGGCTGAATCCAGCTGTGGTCACCTTGAAGCCGTAGTCAGAGTCAGAGTAGTCGTAGTTGGAGTGGATGCAGCGAGTGAATGGCTGATAGGCGTTGTCGATGATCTGAGTCTGATACCAGCGGCCCGAGTACTGTTGGGAAGACACAGTATTAAAACAATGTAAACGTAGACTTGTTTACTCAGTCACATTTAAAACATAATTCCCAGCAATATAAATAATACCAATAAAATCACACCTTGCGAAGATCGAACTTGTCCTGGTTGGCCACTTTAGCGCATTTTCCAGGAACAACGAAGTCTGGGATGCCGTCAGCAGAGACAAGGGCCACAAGGGTAGCGGCCACGAGTGTGGAAAACATAATGCTATCTCAGATGACAGTCTACGGTGAATAACAAATTCTGTTCCCTGAGAATCGTGAATGTAACCCTTAGTCCCCACGTGGCTAGTTTTATACCTGCCTCAAACCTGTGGGTGGACCTTACCTTCTCGGAGGCGGAGCTCTGCGAGTCATGTTGCCACGAACTCCGATTTATTGTTTTCACTCTTTTCATTGTTTATTTGTTTCTTTTTAAGTCAGTTATATTATAAAATATGTACTTGATATTAGAATGAAATTCAATACATCCTTAATTTGTATACCAAGATTGAAAATAGTTTTTTCCCGTTATAAATGCAATGCAAATAGGTAATCTTGCCTTATCTTGAACCTCTCTCCATGTTAAGCATTCCTATATAAAGCTGGAGTCGCGTATTCTACAGCAGGATCAGTTGTGAAAAGCAAGAAAGAAATCATGAAATCTGCTGTGTTCTTCGTCGCCTTTGTGGCAGCAGTTGCAGCTGACAAAATCCCTGACTTCTTAGTACCAGAAAGTGTCCAGCTGTAAACGAGAAAGCTCTCTTCGAACAACAAATACCTAACCATTCGAAGGTTTGTTGAATGCAATGTGTTGCTTGTATGTCAGTAAATCCTAGCAGGTTCTCTCTCTTTTTCCTCTCTCCTCCACCTCTCTTCTTTCCTTTAGTCTCTTCTCATCACGATCATATTATCTTTCCTTTCTTCTCTTTGTTTCATTATTATTATTATTATTATTTATAATATCAATATTTCAGTATGCTGGCGTCTGGTACGAAATTGCCCTCACAAACAACCCATACCAACTCCTCAAGCAGTGCGTCCGCAACGAATATTCCTTTGGTAAG